GCATGATATGGATCAGCACGCCCTCTCGGAGAGGCTCAGCCGACACAATGGTGGTTATACTAGTGTTGTCATCATCGCGTCCACACCACACACGCCGCTCTCTGACGTCCCTCACACACACACATACGGCTTCCTCTTACCTCCTCTGGGCATCTCGGGGACGACTCGAGAAGACCCGCACCTCTGTAAGTCTGAAACCAAAAAGCCACACACACACACCACCCGACCGGCTGAGAACGCCATAAGGCTTGTGCCGCCAACAGACACGCAGTGTGTCACACCTACAGAGGCGGGTGACCAAGTCGGCGCCCGCTCGGCCGTTCGTCGGTGGCGGCGCGTGGGAGGCGAGTGAAGACGGATGTCCTGGAGCAGACAAACAGGGGAATCAAGGGACAGAGTGAATTCATGATAGTCATCCTTGTGTATGGCAGGCGTCCTTGTGTCCTGCTGTGCCGCTCACCAATTGCCAGGGCGGCAGCATCGACAGTGTCCATCCAGTCCATGCATCAGTCGCCTTCCTGATTTCGCTTCGATGCGAAGCCTGCAGCCTGATACTAAGCAGAGTCGCATGAAGAGAAGAGGAGAAGAAGGAAACAGCAGTCACGATTTGAGTGAGAGTCAGAGTGTCTGAACGCAATCGCGGCCTGGCCTGGGCGGGTATGCTATGTGGTTTCAACCGTGACTGATAAAGTTGTTTCATGGATATAAGGGTTCTTCACTCGCCCACGCCACGTAGGTAGGTAGGTATGACACACATGCAATGAAGTAGTGAGTGCAGTGCAGCAGAGTGACGTACACACACACAGATAGAGCCAGATATGGAGACAGACAGACAGACAGACAGACAGACAGAGACTCTGACAGAGGGCGACGGATGCAGGCAGGCAGGCAGGCAGGCAGGCAGGGGCAGCTAGAGCAGGGCTTGACCCGTTGGCCAAAGAAAAGACACACACAGACGGACAGACATCCCGCCCACCCACCCACCCGCCCACCCATAGGTGTCCGGATCGATAAAGGAAACCACTCACTCACAGATATACACACAGGCGGACACCCGTCGACCCGATACACCCAGCCCCGGCAAAGTTACAAACAAGCGACACAACAGTCCTCGCTGGCTGCCACGATCCCCGTCCTCTCTCTGTGACTGCTTGCGTCCACTGCATCGCATCCATCATGTGCCCTGTGGAGACGAGCGTGCCTCGCTCACCACCGCTTGTGCCCATGATATGATGAAGGCGACTCAAGCCGCCAACACGGAGAGGACAGGAGTAAGGAGGCGTGTGAGTGACACACGCGACCATAACCAGACCCATCCATCACACGAGTGGATGACACCAAGAGAGTGAGCCATATATCCACAGAAATACACACAGACAGACAGACAGACATACAGACATTCACTCACTGACACATACACACTATCTATGCAACATAGATAGGGACGCCCCTCCCCTCCTCTCGCCATCCATCCAGCCACTCACTCACTGTCTTTCCGACAATAAGCTATCTGATCAATCAAAACACTCAAATGATCCGCACCCACCCCTCCCTCCCCACACGAGAACCCGCCACCACACACCCACTGAAATCAACACAACACCAGTAAGTGGGCACTCGCCCGCATCACTCCACGCCGCACTCTCTCTCGTCACTGCTTGCTGTGGATGAGAGTGCTCACACATGGGGCATCACAGGCGAGGCGGCGCAGCACGCGTCGAATTGAGGGCAGCAAGGAGGGGCGAAGGGGGTGGTCGACCAATCGGGTGAGGTCCAGGGATTGGGCATCGATGTGGAGTGGGAGCGGTGACGCCGTCAGCAGCCGGTCGATGGCCGTGATGACGTCCTCAGTCAGCTGGAGAGATGCGAACCGGAGGGCGAGGGGAGGTCGGTCATCCGATGATTTCTTGTGGATGAGCGCGATCACGTCGTAGTCGACCAGCCTGGCGCCGTGGCCCAGTTCGATCTCCTCCAGCCAATCGAGCCGGGGCGCCCTGTCGATGACGTCCCAGACCGCCCCCATGACGGCCACCTCCACTTGGGGACCCTCCAGCCGTCCGCTCGCCACCCGCACCGTCTTGAGATGGCTCGTATGTGCGGCCCACACGCCGACGCATGCCCGCGTCTTGGCGTCAGCGACACTCGCTAGCCACCCCTGAGTGTTCCTTGTCACGCTCATGTGCTCCAGGGCGGGAAGGCGCCACTGACGGAGCGATGCGAGGGCGAGGGAGAGGTCGTCGATGCCTGGAAATGACTCGCGAAGCGTGACGCTCCTGAGCTGGGGGAATGTGATGGGGGAGTGCCCGTCGCCATGGTCGCGCCTCACCTCGGCCGGGCGCTGCAGGCCGCTGTGCATGGCGAGGGCTCCGCCGGTGTGTGGCAGCCAGAGGTGGAGAGAGAGGTCCGTGAGGACGGGGGCGGAGGCCTCGATCAAGGACAGGACCATCAGCAGCGCCGGCACGCTGATGCCGCCGCCCATGTCGATGGTCGCCTGCCGGATGGCGCCCGCCATGAAGATGTCCCGCCACGGGGTGGCGTCATGCAGCAGCACCAGCCTCTCAAGTTTTCTCGAGCGGTCGAAGTTCAGGTGTGCGTGTGATCCGGGCAGTCGACACAAAGTGGAGAGGCTTCTGCACGCCCGTGACAGCACCACCACTGTCTCCGTCGGCAGGAGGGCGAACACCAGGAGAGTGAGCTCTCGCGGCAGCAGCAAGAGGGCGGGATGTGTGGGCAAGTTGCGGTTGCGGGTGGTCCGTCTGGTTGACGGAGGGCTGGTGGGGCACTTGGGTGGCGGAAAAAGAGAAGGAGAGAGAGGGGGTGGGTGTGGGTGGAGGGGCAGGCGAGGCATCCGGGTGCCCGGCTTCTGTTGGACATGACATGCGGAGCGAGAGGGAGAGAGAACCACATGAGATGAGGTTGTGCACATGTGTTGTGTTTTGTGAAGGAGATCACACAACCCTCACGGGTGATTCCTCGGTCGTACGATCATCGGTCCGGATCTCTGACAAAACCTCCACCCCACGACGGCCATCCGGCCTTGCGATAGGAGACTGAACCACACGAAACAAACCACCCAAGTCACACAATCACACACACGTGTTCCGGTCAGTGTGGTCGACCCTCTTGTCGTCGCGTCGTGTGTGTTGTGCCTACCGGAACACGGCGAGGGAACAAAAACGTCACATCATCAGAGAGATCCCCATCTGAACACACACGTTCACGCACATGTGTGTGTCGACAGGGGAGAGGTTTCTGGTCGCTCCGCTCGCCATGCATATGCGCGTCGGTATGGTGGCGTACCTGAGTGTGAAACGGGACTCGGCAAGTCAGGGTCGTCCATCGTCCAGATCTGGCTGGTGCGATACGATGCCGAAGACGGTGCGATAGACACACAGAAGTATCAGGTATGTAGCAGGGAACGAACAATCACAAAACAACGGGGGGGAGTGAAGGGTAGGGGCGTTTTCCGCCTTTTCTCCTGTTCTCAAAGGTGTTTGTTTCACGGATCGTGCGTTAGGGAACACAGCGCCGCTCCTTGATGCACGGACGCATATTCATGGCACTCGAGTCATCTGCACCAGCCGTCCACCCCCTCACCCTACCTACTCATTGGTCTGTCTCTCAGTGAGCGCCCGGATGGCGAGCTACCCACCCACCCACACACAGTGATTGTCTCTCCAGAAACGCGGCAGCCGAGCATTCGGCCAGGCTGCTCTCAGGCCTGTCTGTCTGCACACTAAGTAGCTATTCACACCGGCAGCTAACCATCTCCCCCCTGCCCTCCCCAGTCCGTCCAGCCCGCCGCATCATCAAATCCCTCACTATTCCCCTCTACACCGTCACTGTCATTCAGCAGCCATATGTCCATCTCGACGGTCAACTGGTGCTCGGCCGGCCGGGCAGCCATGTCCTCAACCGACGAGTCCTCACCGTCGAACCGCTTATATGTCATCGGCAGACGCAGCTCCATCCCATACTCGGCCATGTCGTCGCGTACACGGCCCTCGCGGAACAGCAAGTCGAGCTCGCTGTCGACTTGCTCAGCGTCGCCGGGTGCGACGAAGATGTCTGCCCGCTCGCTGAGTTCGAAGGTGGCGTGCGTCGGCCGCAGCTCGTGGACGAGGCGGAAGAGGTCCCGCAGCCGCTCGGGGACGCTCTCTGCTCTCGCGATGAGGTCCTGGGCGCTGCCCACCAGGTCCATGTCGATGGGCTGGATCTCGATGCTGAGCTCTTCCACTGTGGGGTACTGGCGGGCGGTGTGGGGTGAGGGGAAGGCGACAGGGGCGGCCGCTTTGGTGCGGGGCCGGAGGAAAAGCGGCCAGTGATGCACTATCTCCAACTTCTGCGACCCAAGTGAGAAGGGTCCGTTCATTAGGGACGGACGTGCCCGTGCTACGTGTGCGCGCCTGAGTACCTTGAGTGGCTTTGTTCCGACGCTTTGCTGAATGTATGCCAGCACCTCTGTGACCAGGATGCCACAGCCCGCCGGAGAGTCGAAGTCCACGTGCGTGAGTGCGGGGAGGGACGAGAGAAGGCGCGAGAGTCGGTTGGGCGTGGCGGGCGG